GTTCCACGAGATACCACATCACCCGATGGAAGTTTCCAAGGTGATTCAGCCAATTCGTGTCTTTTGGCTCAACCCCGTCATTTCGTCTGGCCTCGATCGCGCATGAAACAAACGGACGTCAAACTGACGCTGACGCCGTCGGTCTCACGTTCCGGGATAGGAAAAAGACGTGAACTCGGACAGGTGCGCTTCTCGCCCTTCCCGAGGAGGTGAAGGAAACACCGCGAGCAACTCCAGCGCTTTGGCCTCCCTCATGGCGGAGCCGATGAGGGTTCGCGTGGAGTTCGAGGACCGCCGCCTGCTCACCAAGTCCCAGCGGAAGGACGGCCTCCGCCGCTGCTGGATCCTCCTCGGCCCCCACCTGCCCACCGTCGCTGACCTCGCCGCCCACCTCGCCCGCACCTTTGCCCTCAACCGCTCCTGCCCGCGCGGCATCCGCCTCTACGTACGCCTTCCCTCGCGCATCTCCCTCCTCCCCATCAAGAAACATTGTAATGATCTTGAGCTTTAAATCCTTAATATCGGCTCATAATGGCGAAATTTTCTTGGTGCATTCCTTCTTCTCTCTTCTTTTTGATCTATTGTCTAATCTTTTCTGACTTTTGTGTATCTTTTTGTTTCTTGATGTGTTTCTATGAACTTCGTCGTCGATGCTTCTGATTATTGTTATGGCCATCATTATAATTGTGTTTCAAATGGACGAAGCAGTAATCGAGTTTCAATTTGGGTAGGTATCCACATTATATGTATATTTTCTTAATCTATTTTTTCTCCTACTACAGATGGATGAATTTGTCTTACCTCCATTTGAATCAACCAGTATCTTCAGGGACAAGGATATCATCAGGTATGCATTGTTTTGACTATTTCACTTTTCAGGAATTATGAGATTCACTGGCACAAGTATCGCAAGGACGAAACTATAGGTCGAGGGTAGTATTCTCATCTATTTCTGCATATTGGTCCCTCATGATGTGTAGACTATATTAAATCTGACTTCAGAGGATTCTAGTATTGGTCTTCTTCCTCACAAAATCAGCTGTTGAAGGTGAAGCTATCAACTATGTTATTTCTGTAGCTTGCTAGAGCATATTCAATAATTTAGCCTGAGATCCAATCTAGGTTAAGCTGAATTATTTACAGTTATTAAATGATCATTTTGTACATTCTAGTTTAACCAATTCCTTTGGTGCAACTTTTTCTTTCACTTGCTTTGAATCAGTAGAACTCCTGATGGTTTCAATCCTGACAGATCATTGTGTTACTCTTACATCTTCTCTTGTATAAACCATTTATAAGCTGGCTCATGAGAAAAGGTTGCATCCTTGATGTATGTTTTAGTTTCCAATTTCAATGACACACAGGCTTTGGTTACAGTTTAATTATGTCGTTTTAACTATATACGTTAATTCTTTTGGAGTGGTGTTCTTTTTTCCCTGCTCAGAAATGTGCTGCTTCAGTAGTGAATTACTTCCCTTAAAATGCCTATGTACAATATGGTAAAGCAATCATGAGACTGTTCTAATTTGTTTTCTAATGAACTCATCAGTTAGTAGCATCGGTGTATATTTATCATCAATTGTCGCTTGTCATCTTGTCTTTAGAGTTCCTCTGTTTGGCAACCTTAGCGCTTTTACTCTTACTTTCTCTTTTTTTTTTCATATTTTTTTTCTAACAAGGGATTTGACTTTATACATTATATGTTGTTGGTTTCTTCTCATGATATCTAGTAAATTGATACCCAATGAAGGCACAATGACATAAGTGAGGAGAAGGAATTTATACATTGTTATCCTGTATTCTTGGAAATGCATTTTTTTCATGTATTTGTCATAGTTAGTTTCCATGGCATCATGGCCTCCCATAATGACACTGTGCTTCTTTTATTCTAGGGTGAGCAAGAAGGCTGTTAAACAGAGGCAGCTTCTTGGGACATGTAACAGTGCATATTGCATGCAAGATTCTGAGAATGTTGTGGAAGAAAGCATGCATATTGATAATAACCTTCTCGTTCATCCAGATCTCCCTGTGAACTCATGGACTAATAAAAGAAAAAAAAGACGGGGTAGCTGTGATTTTCAACAGAACACAACAAACATCCATGCAATTTTGAGTGAAGAGACAAATTTGAAAAAAAAGGAGCATATGAACAAGACTCAGATGTTGAAGTAATTTTTTTATGCCTTTATCTTTTATCTTTTAGAGTTATGATTCTCTGTTTTCCATAGTTGTCTATGAGTTTGTATCTGCATTGCATCTTATTTTTGCTCAGTTGACCTTCTAACTTTAACTTCATATATTGTTAATCTTATTCAACAGTGCACTGAACATTGTAACATAAGTTTCTCCAAATGTTTCTGTCTAATTGCCTACATGCTGAAGGAATAAAATATTGTAATCCTGGTGTTCGTTCCAGGATTCTTGTTCTACATGTAATCCATAAACATTTTTAACATGTAAACTAGATGGCACATTATTTTTCTTAGTTTGATTAACTTGTTTCAGTACTGGCAGAGATGCTGTTTTTGATGGATGGATAATTCACAGGCATTTCTGAAAGAATTTCCTGAAAGAAATATCATAGCAATCTGATTGAACAACCTAAGACTTAAATTACTTGAAAATCGGGATCTTAACAAACTCTTGGACATGCATTAGGCATTAAGGTCATATATATATACATATACATATGTATGTGTATACATGTATACAGATACATGTATATGTACATGTACACACACACTTACTCATATATATATATATATATAACAAATTTTATCGTCCTACTTAGTTCTTGATTCATTTCATTTTATCTTACATGATAGTTGCAGGGGAAGATTTATATAATTGACCATAGTGGAGGAACCTCTAAGTACTAGGAGAAGGACCAGGGGCAACTTGATCTTTTTCCTAGTATGAGAACTGATAAATTGCTCCACTAGGAGAAATATACTCTTGTCTTGTTGTAAATATTTCTTTTAATTAAGTCGCTTCTTATTCTTTGATGAAGGAGGAAGAAATTAAATCGAAGCAACACTGAAAAGCCTATCATAACTGCTGAGCCAGATGAGAATGTCCTATTCGAAAAGAATGAACACTTTGTTCAGAAGAGAAGCAGCTTGAGGAGAATTTTAAATAGGAAAGATGGGACATCTGATGGAGATGGCAGATGTGATTCACTCATTTCAAACAGGCTTCATCAGGCGCATTCAAACTATTGTAGAAATCAGCCTGAATCTCATGCTAATTGCAAGGCAGAACGGGTTTGTTATACTTACATTGCTCTTAAGCTTTTATAATTTTTATGAGATAGTTATCTTGTAAACTTTTGATCATAGATAATGTATAAATTAACGTTTTAGGCTTAAAAGTTTATAATTTCCATTATTTTGGTGTTAAAAGAAATCCTTGGCATGATTTTCAATTCTGCAGTCAAATGACCAGAAGCAAACATATGTGTAGATTACCTTATTTTCTCCTATTTCTGTTATATTTGTTGCTCTTTCCCTCCTTAAGTAGCTGCTTGGAGTCTGATATATTGCAAAAACTATCAATTTAATGGAGTAAATTGGAAGATAATTCAGCCAGAAGAGATTTCTCGACAGATATTTGTCATAGTTTTGGAGCATTTTTTTATCTGGACTTACCTCTGTAATATTATATATATCTGAAAAGTATGAAGAGTTTCTTGGTGGCTAGCCTTTGAGCTACCGGGTGGTTAAGTTGCTGTGTTCTAGCAATGATAGATCTATTTTCTTGAGCAGGGCACCCATGTTAGTCTGTTTTAGCTTGCACTTGTTTCCCTTGGTCACTATGTTTGGTTTTATAGCTTAGTTAAGTTTAGAATATTTAAATCTTTATTTATAATTTTTTAGGTCTTCCTCTATCCCCCAATGTTAGTGGTACTATGTGGAGGAGTAGCACAAGGAGATGTAGATGGAGATCTAAATTTTTTTTAATAAAAATTATAAATAAATATTTAGGAACAATAAATTAGATTAAACATATGATTTTTTTTGTATATCTTAATGTATCTCAATAACGACAAAAGATCCATATAGTCGACCCCAAATAGTTCGAATTTATAGCTTTGTTGTTGTTGTTGTATGGTTTTAGACTTAATTTGCTTACATGATTTTTCTTCAACAACAGAGTGAATACCCTTTGCTTGTGGATGTCAGTTTTCTGAAAACAATTTCTACAAGTGACATGCAAGGTGATGGAAGTAAGATAGCAGCATTGGTAAACAACTGGGAAGTAGCAGTATCAGTCGCAAGTGCTAAGGAGTCGAGTACTCATGTCACAGGTATCAACAAACTGTCTTCAGTATGAAATATCATTTTGGCATCCGATTCAGTTTTAGAATGTAGCTGAGTTGCAGTTGTGACAAATACAAAATTTCTTGTCTTGTAGAGCCCATGCCAAATTCTGACTGGGGGCAAATGCAGCAGGGTTTGGGTGAGAGAATGAAGACTCAGCTTCAAGAGAATAGATGGGATTGCTGGATAGCAAATAAGATTAGTGCAACTCCCTGGCCATGGGCAGTGAGTGGGAGAGGTGCAGTAGGGACTGCTGATGGATCTTTTGGAGGAAAATGGGGCAATCAGGCTCCTGCCAAGTATGTTACTAATCTCAAATCTTCCAAATCTTAGTATTTTATGATCTTTGTTGCCCAGATCAATTTCATTTATGTATATGTTTTAGTAGTATGTCAATACGTTAGGAATCTGAGTTCTGGAATTTGTTAGGGATTACGCGAGTAGTTTAAGCTAAATCTGGGCTCCTTTTGCTTAAAAATATCATATTTTCTGCATGAGAGATAATGTTGAAATGTGATGTCTGTTTTCTTCTCATTTTTGAACTGTTTGTTTTGATAAGTTACTGTAGTAACTTCTGTTTAATTTACGTTAAGTACCGATTTGATCTCTCGTATTAACTGTAATTATAATTGAATATCGCATAATCGAGGATTTATGTGCAGTAGCCTAAATTTGATCTATCTAGAAGAATGAAATTGATGTGCTCGAGCCATCACTCGGGTTCCTCAGCAGCTCCGTCATCGTCCATATGATGGTCGCCGCAGACGTTTCGGTGCCGGCGGTAAATATGTCCTACCAAACGAAAATTTTGTTTTCTTCGTCATTCTCGATGAGAGTGAAAGAGAGAGAGAGATAGAGAGAGAGAGAGATCGCGTTCAAGAATGGAGAGGAGGAAAGAAACGGTACCGTCAGAAGACCCTTGATGTGATCCATACTGCCGAAGGTGTTCCTCTGCGTTGGATCCTCTCGCAGCCGAAGCAGTACCTGCACCAAGTCTCCGTGCTCCGATGTGCAGTCTCCTCTGAGATGCTCCTCGATCACTTGGCTGTAGATACCATCCAACTCCCCGAACACCCTCTCCACCCTTGCCCGAAGCCCTTCCAACGCATGAATCCACCGCAACCACGGGAAGATGTCCCCGGCGCAGAAACCCCCCAGCACGGTCTGCATCTCCTCCAGCACCCGATGCAGCCTCCCGCTCCCGGCGGTTTCGTACCTGTCGCCGAACGCCGCTCGGCACGTGACGGCGTTCGTTACCGACAGCACCATCCTGCTCAAATCGATAGGGGACGACGACGAAGAGGGAGCGAGCCGCCGGATAGAGGCGACCAGAGACGCCACCTCCCGCTCCCTGACGCCGCGGAAGGATCGTACCCGCTTGGCGCTAAGCAGCTCCACCATGAACACCTTGCGCGCCTGCCGCCAGTACTCCCCGTGCGGCGCGAACGCCACGTCCCGGAGGCCGTAGGACAGCCTTTCCGCCGCGTACAGCGCCGGCCTGCCGGCGAAGGCGAGGTCGTGGGCCCTGAAGGCCTCCCGGGCGACGTGGGCGGAGGAGATGACCACGGTGGGGATGGAGCCGAGCTGGAGGTACATGAGCGGGCCGTGGCGCTCGGCAAGCGCGCGGAGGGTGAGGTGAGGATTTGCCCCGACCTGGTGGAGGTTGCCGACGACGGGAAGCCTCCACGGCCCCGGCGGCAGCCTCGATCTCTTCCTCCTTCCTTGCTTTATGAGGAAGAGTAGGAGAGGAAGGGAGAGAAGAAGGCATAAGATTACGGCCACCATTCTAGTCCTTGTTGCAGCAAATTCTGGTGTGAGATGAAGGGCTGATTCCCAAGTTTCAAAGACGAGGAAGCAAAAGCTAGCCGGCAGAGCTCGCGAGGAAGTACGCTTGCAGCGCAAGACCTAAGAAAAAGAAGTAGCTCCTTACACGTGTTACCTGGTTGTCTACTGCTTGACGGCATATGTAAATAGTGGTCAATGGGGTTACGTCTCGACTGCTATTCAATCATCTATCTACTTGTAAGGGAGGAAGTAAGCATGCAGCGTACAGAGCCAATGATAAGTAGTAGTTCCTTACATGTGTTAGCTTATTATCCACTACTTAGGCATATGTGGTGTCAATGGGGTTACGTCTCGACTACTATTCAACCCCTCGGTCGAGAGCATTCGAGAGGCCCGACCGGCGCCTCTCTTAAGGCCGCAGACTCTTGGGGAGCAGATGAGGGGATAAAGCCATGGTCACCTTGCGCCCGCCTCCCCACCTTCCCAGAATCGCTGCCGTGTCCTCTTCCCACTCCGACCCTTCCAGGGCCGCGGGCGAGATCAAGCGCCTCGTCCTCACCAGCGAGGGCCGGACCAAGCTCAACACCGCCCCCGACCGGGACTTCTACGCCTTCCCCCGCTTCGTGACCCACGTCGACGCCGCCTTCATCTCCGCTCTGACGGGGCTCTACCGGGAGCGCCTGGCGCCGGGGTGGGCGGTGCTGGACCTCATGAGCTCCTGGGTGAGCCACCTGCCGCAGGAGGTAGCGTACGAGCGAGTGGTCGGCCACGGGCTCAACGCCCGGGAGCTGGCCAGGAACCCCAGGCTTGACTATTTCTTCGTCAAGGACCTCAACCGTGACCAGGAGCTCCAGTTCGAGGATTGCAGTTTCCATGCGGTGGTGTGCGCCGTCAGCGTTCAGTACCTGCAGTGGCCGGAGAAGGTACGGTTCGACGATTCGAGTACATGATGAGTTTGAATGTAGAGTTTCATGCACGGGGGCTGCTCGGCAAAATGCCCCACCGGAGTTGACAAGCTCGCTTGCAATTAAAACAATAGCACTTCCGCATACGGTTTGCAATTAAAACAAGCTCGCTTCCGAACCTAATATTTGGAGTCCCATTTCAAAAGCTTTGTAGGAATCACAGTTCTTAATAGTCGGGAGTCACAGCACCTAACATTTGGAACAGCAATTTATTCATCTTAAACCATTTAATCTCTGACAAATCTTATAGATCAGGAGAGACTGCATGATGATTCCATGGCACTTCACACAGATGTATGAGAAGAACACAATCATATTTATGATGGATGAGCTCTAACATTGAGCTATGCAGTTTCTTGTCGATTCTGGTTTGAAGTCAACTTCAAACTACCAATTAGAACTTTCATTCCTAATCTGTACTAGCATCCACACCCATGAAGCAGAACTGTGATCATCTGCATGTGACTCACTTGTTGCAGGTATTTGCCGAGGTTTTTAGGGTTCTCAAACCAGGTGGGGTGTTCATCGTAAGCTTCAGCAATCGTCTATTTTATGAGAAAGCAATCAGTGCATGGAGGGATGGGAGTGATTACAGCCGAGTCCAATTGGTTGTGCAGTACTTCCAATCTGTGGATGGATTTACACAGCCTGAGATAGTCAAGAATGTACCACCAAAGGCTGATGCTTCACTTCTTAGTGGAATGATGAGATTGATTGGGTTATATAGGACGGATCCCTTCTATGCAGTGATTGCGTATAGAAATTTCAAGCCAGTGTATGAAGAAGCCGAATGAAAATTCCTAGTAATATAATGGTCCTCGTTGTATTCTATCACAATGCAAATATTGGGTTCTAAAGAAAAGCACATTTATTAAACAGTGGAAATTAATCCATGCCCAGCAATCCTTCCCAATGCCAAGCAATACAAATTGAACTGCCATGTACCAAATCATCATCATCCATTGCTTCGATCAATCTAATTGACGCCATTAATATTCTTGCGTCTTCTTCAGATCCTCCGCAGCTTGTCTTTCACGACGACGGGGTTGGCCTTGGCGATCGCCGCGCGGCCGTGCGCCTTGTAGTCGAACGCGCACTCGTGCGTCTCCGGGAGGCGGTGCGCCGCGCAGAACGTGCTCCCGCACCGGCACTCGAACCTCGCGCACAGCCTCACCTTCTTCTTGCACCGCCCGCACCGGTCCGCCACCTTCGGGGGCTCCTCGTCCCGGTAGGAGGAGGACTGCGCGGCCGCGACCTTCCGACTCCCGGCGTCGGACTCCGCAGCGGCCAAAGGCGGCCGCATCTTCTCGAGCTGCTCCATGAGGCAGATGTCTCGGTAGCACCAAGAGCACAGGCCCCGCGTCGCGGGGCTGCCGACGAAGCCGCAGCCTCTGGCGCAGGGGGGCGGGTTCTCGCGGTGCTCTCCGGAATCCATGGCGACAGAAAACCCAAGTCTCTGCTGCTTGGAAGCAACGCAAGGCATAAGAAACGCGAGAGAAGAACATGCATGCACATCAAGAACATGGGAAGGAGAAGGCTAAGGATCTTACGACGAAGGCTTTGATCTGAGCTGTGGCTTCAGCAAAGACTCGTCGGGAGAAGCAAGAAGAACGAGTGAGAAGTCGTTTGCATGATCGACGAGGGAGGTAACATATACAGAAGATTTACTACATAGTCCGAATCAGATTCGGACTTTTCCTAGTTGGATTCGGATTCCAAAGCCTAATGGGGTGAGGATTTTGTTCCAATTTGTTTTTATATTCTTTACATCGGGTCGGATTCTTTAGTAGCCGAAATCCGGACCCGCCAGATTTTGACCTCCCCATCCAAACTCCCACTGCAAACCCGGTACTCGTCATCCTTATCCTCCTTCCCCGAGTCGACCCGAACCGCTAAACTGCAGACACTCCTTTTTAAGAGGTAAAACAAAACTTTGGTTTGAATAATTGAAGGAAAAAAAAATTAGATTAATGAAAAGTGAAAAGAAGAACTAAACTGAATGAATGTGTAGACAAACACTCGATCTTTTATTTGGTTCCCATCTCATCTTCTCCGATTCGAATTCTGGTGGTCTTTATGTGACAAGCATTTTGAAAGTGCCCATCTTAGCACCTTAATTTTGCTCCTCCTGGTTTCAGCCAATAATTCATTTTCTTTTAGATTTCTCCATTTTAATCTATGGATATTACTGCCAAGACCAACGGATAAAAATTATTTGGAGGGTAAAAATTATTTGAAGAACAAGGGATTAACTATGAAAAGAAGCTCTTGGGTATTAGGATCTAATTTTTTGATAAGTATATTACGTATCTTAAGAATTTGTAGAGGACATAAAGAAAATTTATTTTTTTAAAAAAATTAAAATTTTATTTGATTATTTTTATATAATGAAGGATATGAGTTTTATCCGGTATGTATAAATAATGAAGGTTGAACTACATGAATCTTACACTGATTTTTCTGATTTATGTTTAATTGTTGATCTATAGATTTTTCTAAAAAAAATACAAGACATATATCCACCAATATCATATTCTAATATATCTCAGATTCGATCAAAAAAAAGAAGTAGAAGAAGAAATACTCTAATTGGTCAAATGGAATGACAAGTGATTGCTCAAATTTAGTAGCACTCCAACATGAGTCTTTTTTTTTTCTTTTTGAAAAATAAAAACTTTTATTTATTGATGAAACTACTAAGAGGATTAGGCAGAGAGCTTATCATATCAGTCATAAGAAAAGAAGAAACCTACTCGTTCTAACGAAATTAGCTATATTATGTATGAGATTTACAATTAGAGCTCCTAAACATATGACTAAGATGAGCAACATTAAGCTTTGTAATCAAGAACTTAAGATGAACACCAGTTGTTGGTCAATCAGAATGCCTGATCATCTACATGCCAAATTCTTAAACTAATCAACTTTTTCAAGTCAATTTAGAGACACCAACCCTTTTTTTAATCAAACAAGAAATGAAATATAATAACAAGTCACATATGATGAGTGCCCTCATCCCACAACACTCACCAAATCTACATTTTAATCAATACACTTAATCATCCCCATATGTCCCTACTAAAATCACATTGATACATTCCATTTGTCCCAATTACATTACAAACCAAACATGGAATTCCACTACTAGCCCTTTAAATATACTATTTTAGCCCCATCCCAAATCTTCAAACCCACACCTTTCCTACTATAATTTTATTTTATTTATTATTTAATTAGAGTCCAACTGTTAGTCCTTCATATATGTACATCCTCTCCTTCATTCATCTCAAATCCTTATTATAACTAGTCCTTTAAATTTATAATTATTTTTTGAAAAATATTAAATAATAGAATGCCCTTTTGAAAGTCCCAAACCAAATCTTCAAACCCACACCTTTCTTACCAATATATATATATATATATATATATATATATCCTCCCTCCTTTGTTCATCCCCTACTTCATTCCTTCCCCGCTCTGACCCTCTCCTATTATTTCTTTTATTTACTTTTGCTATATCAAAGACTAGAAGAGGAGGGGAAAAAGAAGATGCCTTTTTTACCTCCTCCCAAGCCTTCCACCCAACCCAAAAGGGTCACCGGAGGCGGAAGCGCCGAGCAGCGGTGCACGGCGCACGCGCTGCCAGAGGCGGTGGCGAAGTACCACGAGCACGCGGTGGGGCGGAAGCAGTGCTGCTCGGCGGTGGTGCAGGAGGTGGCTGCCCCGGTGGCGGTGGTGTGGTCGGTGGTGCGCCGCTTCGACAAGCCACAGGCCTACAAGCGCTTCGTGAAGAGCTGCCGCGTCGTGGTCGGCGACGGCGGTGTGGGCACGCTCCGGGAGGTGCGTGTCGTGTCGGGACTGCCGGCGACAACCAGCACCGAGCGGCTCGAGATCCTGGACGACGAGCACCACGTGCTCAGCTTCCGGGTGGTCGGCGGCGAGCACCGTCTCGCGAACTACCGGTCCGTCACCACCATCCACCCCGCGCCGGAACCCGTCGGCCACGCCATGGTCGTGGAGTCGTACGTGGTGGACGTGCCGCCGGGGAACACCAGGGATGACACCCGGGTCTTCGTCGACACCATCGTCAGGTGCAACCTCCAGTCCCTGGCGCGCACCGCCGAAGCCCTCTAACGGCACCGCCCTCAGGGGGGGGGGGAACCCGTAATTACGTCATAAGCCCATGGAGTGTTTCGTCTCTGTGCTCATTATTTACTCGTTTCTTGTTTTTGTTTTTTTAATGTAGGAAAAAAGTTGTAAGAGTCTAATGAAATAACAGCATTTCTCAATCCCTGTAATTTGTGCATTTTATGTAATTTTTTTCCTCCTTTTTTGATCAAAATAAATTAAAATATTATGTGGTTGATGTTTAAAAATAAACCACAATTCCTTCCAAAAACAAAAAAAAAATGATAATTTGTGCATTCTTTTTTTTTTTTATCAGAAACATTCAAAGAAAACAAGGAGGTGGTGATGTACAATAATTCCCTAAAAAAAATATTGTAGTAATTATTTATGACCACGTAGCCTTCCCACTTGACTGCAACTACATGCAACTTGAGAGGTTCAAGTGTTCTCTTTGGACTGATCTAATTTGTTGCTACATGCAACTTGAGAGGTTCAAGTGTTCTCTTTGGACGAAACCAACCAATCTCACCTTCATGATGTCTATCTCTAATCAATGATTCGACAAAGTCATCTTTGAGCTACGTTTATGCGAGAAAGGATGGAAATCATTAATTAGGGTTTTTGTGGACATGGATCAATCTCTCTAAGGTTTTAGACTAAAAAAAAAGTGAAGTGGCTGCGTTGAACTATGCATTGTCAGCCCTGCTGCTGACAGCCTCAGCTTGGTCACGGACAAGAAGGCAAGTTGGTGTTTCCTTGTCTGGTCTTTATGCATCAGGCCACTGTCCTTCGACTGTTCCTCCTTTGCCATCTTCTTCACCGTCTCCTGTTACTACTCGGAAAGAGGGATTGGCATGGCCTGCAACTTGTGTTCGGCGATCCCTATCGGCCCTAATCTATTCTGTGGGTTCAACCTTCTCTTGCATCACTTCCGAAGCCATTTCTGAGAATTGACCACACACAGTGAGCGAGAATAAAAATGCTGTAGCTCAGTACCTTGTGCCGGTTGGATGATAGGCTTGCAGGAATAAGATTAGAGAAAGAGAACAAATCATGTCATTTCAGGAAAAAGTACTAAAGTGAAACCTGCTGGCTTTTTATAACATAAGGTTTACAATAAAACTACAAAGACTAATTCTTGTTGCTTTTATTACTGTTGATAGGTCACATGAATGAAACACTAGAAAGTTCAAAATGAATTAATTAGTCTACGTAAAATAAATTTATAAAGACTAATTAAATATCCAGAGTCAATGGTTCAGATTTAATAAATTAATTAATTAATTTTATTGAATTCGATCGTAATATAGTATTAAAACTGACTTAGTATTATTTGATGTGATCGTAGATTCGAATATCACTTAGCTAAGGCTCATTTGAACGATATCGATTTGATATTATATTGAATAAAAAAGATTATAATACCCAGAAAGATTATAATAGAGTCTTCGTAAGTTATTAGAACATGAAAAGTCGAAAAGTTAGACGTTGTGATTAGCATTATCATGTTGATCACATGATCTACTTGGCTAATATATCGAAAGTATAATTACGTGATATCCGAAGAATACTAAGATCAATTAAGTGTCGATTCATATAACGTGGAAAGTAGAATTATTAGGCTGTTAGCGGTAATGAAACTGGGAAGGATTCCAGCTATGTGCATCAAGTAGCACGCTCAATGTTCGGCTGGATCAGCTCTCCCTCCTCGGTCGATGTCATGGCGGCCAAAGATGATGAAAGATCCCATGGACGGTGGCTCCACCAGAGCTTGTCTTTGGACACGGGGTCCTGTGTTGGGTCTACCGATGGTGAAGGGAATCATCCTCCATGTCTTATGTGAGTCAGAAGGACCACCACCAAGAAGCTTTGTGGGTTGACCCAACTGGTCAACCATTTTGCTCACTGCATGCCGTGATATCTTCTGTAATCAACGATAATTTCTCCCTTAACATAAATTAATTACTATAAATAATATATTATTTTATTATTAACTTCTATATTTATGTATTATAGTTAAAGAAATAATTAAATTTGATTTCCTTAATCACATCGATAAGTTAAGAATTCTACTAATTAATTAAATTATTAATTGATTTATTTACTAATAAGTGATTTGATATTTAGGAAGTAAATATTTAGGAATGTAAATAGTTTACATTCCATTTTTATGTATGAACTATAAAAAAAAGAATATTATATTACTTTTTTTATGTGTGAAAGAAAATATAAAATAAATTAAAAATAAAAATTAAATTATTACTTACCCTTCGATATAAACGGACTACTCATCCCTCATTCTCTACTAAGCCTAACAATAGAATGATTGAGGAGTTGACTTTCCGGGGAGATGATATCAAAGGAAGGGATAATCGAATAGAGGTAGGATCCTTTCTTTTTAATTAGCTTTGATTTGTATTTTGAAATCTTAACATTGAGATTGTTACAGTTTTATAATGAATGATGATATTTTAATTTCAAAATTTATGATTTATAAATAATAATAATAATTGATTTGTGATGTTAGACTGATTATTTGATTTGTATTGATATTTTAAGCTTAAGTAAATTTTAATATTAATTTAATTATTAAAATTCTTATTTAGTATAATAGTTCTAATTTATTTAATTAGTTATATCTATGTTTCAAGAATTGTGTTTTGAATTTCTGTAATGTAATTAGTTTTAAATTTTAGATCATGAATTTAAAGTTTTAATTCATGTATTTAAGTAATTTTTTAATAATTTTAAATATTAAAATCTAATTTGATAAGAGGAGTCTAATTGGGGTCTGACTTGAGTCAAGTTGATCGATCAGATCGAATCGATTCAGACCATGTGGTCATGTATAACCTATCTTATGTGACTAAGTATAACCTAGCTCATGTGGTCAAGCATGACCCAACCCATGTGGCTAAGTACAATCTAATCCATATGGCCATGTATGACTCAGCCCATGCGGTAAGGTACGACCCAACCATGTGGTTAGGCATGGGCCAGCTCATGTGGCTAGGTACAATCCAGTCCATGTGGCCATGTATAACCCAACTCATATGGTAAGGTACGACCCAACCATGTGGCTAAGCATGAGCCAGCTTATGCGGCTAGGTACAACTCAGTCTAGGTGGTCAACCCCAACTCATGTGTTTAGGATCAACTCGTGAGCCAAGCATGGCCTAGTTCAATGGTAAGGCCTAGCCCAACTTATAAGTGAGGCTTAGCCTAGTCCATGAAGTTAAGGCTGCCCAACTACGCGATTGGCATTAGACATATCGTCACTCCTTTTATATTGCCTGTTATACCTCAACTCAACATAGTATTTGGAACAGGTATATGCAATGTATATGACCTGCCCAAGACTCAGGTGGGTTGGTTCGATTTGGATTAGCACTATACGACATAGTCCAATCTCCTTCTCTATTGGTTTAAGCTCATTAATTGATGAAATCAAACAGGTTTGATCAGTTAAAGCCGATTTAGGGTGATTCCAAACTAACATAACTAGTTCAAACCTATTTGACCTAATCGAGATCAATCAAATCTAAATTAGACCGGTTTAGGGTGATTCCAGACCGGTTCCATAAGGATTTGATATTGGTTCCGTTAGATTATAATCGAATTGAGTTTGGTTTAAGTCAATTGAATTGTTCCAATTAGGGTTTTGATTGATCGAGGACTATTGAGATATTGATGTTTAATGCTTTTATGATTCGATGAATTTAAATGTTTTATTTGAAGGTGTCGTTTGAAAATGATTATTGGTTTTCTATATTTATGATATTGATATGATAAGTATCATATAGTAGATGTGACTAGACTAGTAGTTCACATTGGGAGTGCAACCTGTGAAAGGAGCTACGAGCCCATCATAGTGCGGAGCCACCAATGAACATAGTCTAATAGATTTACATCAAGTATGGTCTCTCATAATGTTTAATCATATTGATTTCTTGATGTATGTGTGAGTGATTGAATGAGTATAAATGAATGATCATGGATGTTTATGTATCCCTGCCGAGGGTAGGTATGACGATTCTCTTCATGGATTAGCGGGCCATCAGACGTGATGGTTAAACGGTTCCTCCGTCCGTTGTTAGGAGGAGCGTGTCCTCATTTGGGCGGGTGAGAGATATCACTACATCCGCTGTTGAGAGTGCGATATGGATTATCTCTATCCGCTGTTAGGAGGAATCCATCCCGTGGAATATGCCTCTCCATCCGTTGTTGGGAGAGTGCACCATTGGGTAATGTACGCCTTTGTTATTATGTATGTGTTGCATGTGACCGATGCATGATTTTGTTTATTATGAAAGAAATTATCATCATTTTTGTGATGCATAAGTTTTATGATGAATAGATATATTTTCATATTGAATTATTAATATTTGTTTATATTTCATGAATATTGAAGATTATTTTTATAATATTTCTGAGGTTCCTACCAACACGTGTGGTTGTTGATATATTTTTATTTTATATTTATTTTTAGAGTAATCTACTATTGTGTAATAGATCTGAAGCTTGGGTGGAAGAGACTTGTGACCCTACGAAGAAGATATCATTTTTCTAGCTAATAAAATATTTATTACTATAAAGATAATGATTTGAATTGAAAGACGAATGAAAAGAAAAGAAAAGAAAAGGAGGAAGTTTATTATGTAAATTATGTATAATAAATTATTGATTTATTATTTTTTTATAAATTCGGGATGTGACATCTGTGAATGCATGTTCTTGGCAGCTTTTCTGAGATGTTTAAACACAAGTAAGTAGGCTGTAAGATTAATAATAAGAAAATTGCTATATTATTATGAGATCAGATAAATGGTTAATGGTGTAATCCGACTATCCGATCGGATGGTTCCGATGACTATTATTATTTGGTCTGCTTGGTTGGATGGGAAAACCAAGACCTTCAAAACATATTCTTGAGGATTTGATATTCTCCTTGGATGAGATCTGAAATTAACAAAAATAAATTTAAAATATTATATTTGTAAACATTATTGAATAATAAAATATATCTAAATAACTTATTTGATGGTAATGTTCTTTAAGCCACATTAGATTAAGAGTTCGAATAATCATTATCGGGTGATTTCCACCAAAAAAAATTCATCTTATTTATTTTTTCATTAAAAAATTTCACATGTTTTCTTTTTTTTTTGTTCAAATAGTGTCTCTATTTCAAATAATATCCAAAATATCCCTCGCTAATCCCAATGGCAGTTTTCTCTTTTATTTTTCATCATTTTTTTTATTAATTCTGGATAATTACAGTATTTTTATTAATGTGCTGAAAACATTATATAATTATTTAAAACTACTATAAGTAATATTATCTTATATTTATTATTATTATTATTATTATTATTATTATTATTATTATTATTATTATTATTATTATTATTATTATTATTATTATTATTATTATTTGTAGATCATTATAATATTATATTTTTAGGCTTGTAGTTGATTTGGCTGATGTTACTACTCTATTTAAATCATTTATAGTGTTTTTAAGTAAATTTTACAATTTTTTTGTGGTGACTAAAATACTGCAACATGTCAATTTTTGATCTTTATTTGGGTGATGTTATTCCTAAACCATTATAACTACTTATTTGAATCTTAGTATGATATATCAAACTTTTTTTTAATATGCTTTGATTTCATTTGGCTTATGTAACACTTAATTTATCAGAAATAAATATCAACACCGATAAGATTGTGACAATTAATTTGTTAGAAATATCTAACTTAATGGATATATATCTATAAAGCATCTGTTAATTTAAATTTGAACATACATAAATCTGTTTGTTGGTGAACATATCACACTTGTATTTTCATTGATTGGGAAGTCAAAAAATAGCCACAAGAATCAGGCAGGTTTGTATTAAAAAAAAAAAAATCCAAAAATGGGAACTTAAATAATTCATAATACTTTGACATGCATCATAAGGCAGCTGGGAAGAAGTATCATTTGGCATCTTGAAGTCTTTGGTTATTTTGCGACTGAGCTCAGCAATTTGGGTTCATCTTTATCTCAAGCCAGCAGTGGAGAAACCCTTTCACTGCCATAAGAAAGCACCACAGTCAAAGTAGGTTCATTTAAGCTGCCTTACAAAAAAGTTTAATACACCTTTGGGCATTTTCTCATCTAGATTAAACAACCCATTTGAAAATGCACCTGCACGACATCTGAATATCCTCTGCACTGATTTGGAGAAAAGAAAGAAAGGAAAGCTCAATGCCAATTGATTCGTCGCACTTGTGTGGAACATAGCCTTCACAATGAAGCTGGCACTCACATCATCTGCAGCAAAATTTGAAATTAGTTACTAGCTTTCGTATGACTGAAACTGAACAAATTATTATGCATAGCCTTCTCATATAATAAACTTATGACCATGCCAGCTTCAACGCCTCATATATAATGTTTATATATCTCATATAAGCTACCGAGGCAGGTGAACCTTCTTTCTAGAGCAACTTTTACAATGCAAACTTTCACATGTAACGAAACTGCAAGCCATCTTTCTAGAGAAACATAAAACTTCACTACTTACAATAGCCATCTTCGTTATTTGGATGTATCAACTTCATAAGATATTGTTTTGTTTTTTATTTAAATTTCATAGAAGAAAAAAGTCAGATCATCGAAGAATTCTTTGGTTACGCAAAAGGAAAACAAGGAGCAGAACTTTGCATGTGAGATTTCTTGTTCAGTTGTTTCTGGTAAACATTGATATTGTTGTCATACTGCTGGAACTATAAATTGAAAATTCAATCTTATTTACTAAGGTAAAGAATTTATAAAATGCTTTAAATACACATCCACAGATCAACATTGACCACTATTGTCACTATCCAGATATAGCAATACTTACCTTAAGGAGATCACCAAAAATGTCTGGTAGGCCACTTCTGCGAATACCATAAAACTTCTCCGCGATTTCATCTAATAACTACATAATCAGAGGTAAACCAAATAATCATCAGTGCACAAGACAGCTTTTTGTTGAATATTATCTAAATCTAAACTTGACAATATTGTGATTGGAACAAGAAAGCATCAAAGGAATGCTTTATTTTTGTTAAAATTTATGTTCATCTTCTGTGGAGCCATTCAATGAAATTAGTCCATAGAATGCCTAACATCATTGGTTTTTAGATTTAGTCTGCTAGGTGCCAACACATTTTTCAGAGCACCACAAGGGATCTTGACATTATGTTGCAGTAACTGGCCTAGACTATTTCTTTCAGCCAAACCAGCTTTGATAAGTACGGATCAGAACATTAAACTGAATATTTGGTCTGTCAGTCAAAGAAATTGACATTTAAGTTAAACGGTTTATCACACACACTTTTACTTTTTAGTAGCCCAGAACTTACAGCCATCTCCTTGCCAACTCTCATCAGATAGGGGATGAGAGCGGCGAGTGAGGATACTGTAAGAGATGTTGCTATCATCCTATAAATTTGCTGTATTTTTCATGTATTTGGAATCAGAATTAGCATGTTTTACACAAGGATTGAAATATTGTACCGTACTGGAGTTTCGATATTCGTTTGGTATGGTACGGTACTGTATACCGAGCGGTATACCGCTCGGTATATATATATATATATATATATATATATATATATAGTAAAAAAATTTATATATATTTATATATATATATAAAATTTTCGATGCCGAGACGATGCGACATTGCCTTTTTCGACGACGTCACATATTTATATATAATATATATATATTATAACAGGGTCTGCCATACCGCCCGGTACGGGCGGTACGTACCGGTCCGACAGGTTGTCGGTATGCGGACCGACTGTTACCGGTCCGAGAGTACTGTAGCACTGTAGCAGTGCTACAGTACTCGGTACACCTGGGTGTACCGCTCGGTATACCGTACCGTACCGGTACCGAGCCCAAGTCGAAATACCGGTACAGTACGGTATTGCGAACCTTGTATTATAATATATATATTATATATAATATAATATATTATTTATATAATACCGCTCGGTAGTGGGCAGTTCGTGTACCAGTCTGCTGACGGATCGGTACATACTGCCCGGTACGAGTGGTATTATTCGAAATTGTAAACCTTGGATTTACATAAAAAAATATTTTCACAATTCAGGGAAAGGATGTTACCCCATCAAACAAAGATTCCCGGTCTATGCTTGTCTTGTACTTCTGCCTTAATATCTTGAATAGTGGAAAAGAATCTCTTTCTAACCTGGTTCACATAATTACCAAAAGTTACAGAAGTATGTGAAGGTAAATATATCATTGAAGAAATGTGACAGTATGTATACACATCAAATTTTACAAAATGTTATTAAAAGTTAAAACATCAGCATTTCTGGTTTGCAACCTTACATAAATAGTTGTTCCTCTCTATATTGTTAACTGTTACAATATTAAATCCAGGCTTCCAAATGTTAAGCTTTTTACAATAATAATCATCATAGAAAATAGTTCATCTAGTGAATGTACGAGCATCTTACTGGAAAGATACCATCTAGAATAATCATAGACATGATACTTTTTGATTGAACAAAACATGAACATCAAACAATATATCATGGGTAGGTTTTCTAGTTGCATCAAAATTAAAGAATCAGAAGGATATTGCCTTTTACATAGCTCGAGCATTTTATTCTGCAATGGCGGGCTAAAATCAACTAGGCAATGGCGACGTTATTTGGCTTCAAACATCCTTTATTTTGATCAAAGGGAAAAATGAAATGGAGAAGACTTACGCCTGCAACAGATACTTGATAAACAGGATCAAGTCCGAGTCTGGTAACTCAAGTTGCTTGTGTTCTAGTTGCTTGTTAAGCTCATCCATAAGGTTATTTGCATCCCTAAGGTTTCCTTGTGATAGATACCTATAAAACAAAAAAAATCTGTAATGATAGAATACTACAAGAAGTGAAGAATAAATTAGCTGTGCAGGCCCATATAACATCAACATTTATGCCACAAGAAAAGCTGTTTAGGTGGAGTAAATCACCCCACTCCACCAAACTAGCAACGGCCATTATAACATCTAGAGCACATTCCAATTATTTGCTTATCAATAAAATTTCAATTTCTTCCCTTATGCTGTAAATGCAACAACAAAACCAAGGAAACATGATAACTAGAAGCAAACAAAAAATTGTTTACTCAATGTTGAAAACTGCCACACCAATTTTTTAAAATAATAATAGGAAAGTATTTGATGTTAAACAAACTTACAGCATGACTGCCCGTGCAATTGCCATATCATCTTCCCCAGGGTAGCACTGTGCACAAAGAGATAAAGAAAATGTTAAAACTTGGATAAAGAGCTAAAAAGATGACTGTGCCTTTTTCATGGACACAGCCATATTTAGATGAAACAATTGATGACAACCCATCAATAAAAGGCATCCAGAGAGACAAACAAGAAACCCAGGAAGCCCAGGCAGTCAAAAACCTGACAGATCAATCCATGTAACAAATACATCCAAAAATCTAAAAATCTGATGTCAAATACCTAAAGAAAATTTATTCCAAATTTATGCCAACCTCATCCTATCGAAATTCAAAAGCATTGACAAACTTAGCTTTAATTTTACCAACAAGTATTGCGCAATATCTATCTTGTATAATAAAAGATACTCGCTGCATTATCATGAATGCCAAGTAATCTTGAAAAACGAGAATAGGATTGGAGTTTTTATTAAAAAATGGTATAACATTTGGAATCAGGAGTATGACATTCAGAAAATTCAGAGCTCAATGGAAATGATCTGTTAGCCAGGCACATATGGTTGGAACTTGTTGTCATTGTAGTATGACAACAAAATTGAATCCCGTTACATGACAGGCATGGTACATATATCATGCACTAAGCAAGTACATGACTCACTTGTTACACTTTAAGACAAACTCCTTTTCATTATATTTACCGAAGCCTTACCTTACCCATAAAATTTACTAGAACAGAAGCAAACTTCTCAGGATCATTTCCACGAACAAAGTGACTTGACACCTTAGTCATGTCCTGTAGAGAATTATGCTTGTTAAGATTCATAGTAGCAGAAAAAAATAAAGCAAGAAGAAAATAGCTTAGAATTTGACATATTAAGAGAATGACATTTATTACATGAAAAAATCCATTCAAAGAACTATAAAAAAGGATTAAATTCATTGCATAAAAAAATAAGAGAAAGTGAAGTTGTTATAAAAAACTCTTGGTCAGGCTTTGAAAGATTGTCTAAGCATATGAATGAATATAAGACAATGCAATTACTGAAAACGTCAAAACTATCAGCTAGATATGTTACTTAGATAAGGGTTCCTCCAGGGTACTTCATCTATCAATCAGGATTTAGTCCATATCTAGTGAGGAAAAGAGTAGTCCACTAAAAAGAGGCTAGTTGTGCAGTCTGATAAGAAAAAATAGGCCAGTTGTTAACTGTTAAGAAATATATGGGAAACATGTCATATGTCAATAGCATCAATGCATATAATTTTAGTGAATTACCTTTATTTCTTGAACACTGGCATTGGGCTTTCTTCTTGCCTTTCTCTGTTTCAACTATCAGTATTTTATAATCTTAGTCTACTTACCACTACTGCATCACCTTATCACTACATTATTCCTAATATTCTTCTACCTAACTCTATTGCATCTCTTGCACCTTATCAGTACTTTATTCCAAAGTTTCTACCACTTACCTCTACTGCATCTCATCCCACCCAATTGCAACAACAGTAGTCGGAGTGTCAGACTACTTACTCTAATAGCCCAGCTGGCTTATACCATATATGTTGGTTTTCTCCACAGCACTGTACAATGTTTGGCCTCTTTGATCAAGACTTGGAATCCTGATCTTCTCTTGTAGATGGAGTAGGGATATTTTTGGAACATCTTCAAGGGAATATTTAGGCACCTTGGATTTACTATTTAAAAAAAGAGATTGACAAAGATATTTCTTATAAAATAAAAACAGGATGGTTAAAGTAGAGAAGAGAAATGATAGTTTTGTATGTTCATAATGTATCTTTTAAATTCAATAAAAAATTAAATAATCGTAAGGTTAGTCATGCTTAATTGATCAAAGTGTTCGATAGTTAGGAAAAATGTATACAAGTAAATATAGCCGACATGAGGATGTTGATGTTGATATATAGGGATATTGGAAAAGATAAAATAAGAATTATTTCCATCAGCGTTATTGAATATGTAGTCTTGACAAGATCAAATGATGAAGAAACTCATCAACCCCCGCCTTCCAAGTAATATACTAATAATAATTAAGGGGCTTGACCCTTTTGCATAGTACTATAGGAAATAATCCATGGAATTCTTCCATATTTGAAAATATGAAAGAGAAATAAACTTTATTGGAAGTTTGGAACAATAAAAACGATCTGATTACTTTTAATTTAACTATGGGAATAACCCCACACGAACCTCAACGCTGGGAAAGTAACTAACAGTTGACCTTAAATAGTTGGCACATTATTGGCTTGTCTTGGGATATATTTCATGCTTTTGTTGATATTAGCACATTGGCTTCGCAGGGACTGCTTTCTATATAAATTCTCCTTGGAGTATAATCAGTCCATGTGGAAGGCTATGTGCAAAAAATCCTTTAATAATTTTTTTTTATCCCAAGAAGCTGGTTGCTAATGCTCCATTCATATCCAGAAAATTTTAACAATTACCAGAGCTTTATCCTACGTCTACCCTGGATTAGGTATTCTGTTGAATAAAAACCCCCTTGTAATTAGGAGTGATCCAACAGATACACTCGAAAAGATATAAATTCCTTCTGGTCAAGAGATTTTTGCCAAAACCCAATGTTTTAGCCTCTTCTCTAGTCCCAGAATAAGCCGAGGAGCACTTCATGTTGAGATCTGTCAAATCTATTGTGATTTGATATGTTGAGATCTATCAAGATTTGTGGTGATTTGATTATTGACATACTACCTTATTTGATGTGATAGACTAGGATATGATTGTTTACTCATACTTAATTTATTTGTTGTAGATTTCCTGGATTATTACATTTCCTGGATTATTACTTAGATCTATTGAGGTAGTTCTTTCTTTTTTTTTCTTTATCTTTGGTTCCACAATATGTACTTCATCCTATATACAAGCAGCCATATAGAAAAGTGAAACTCTCTTCTTCTAATGTCCTGTTGATGGTATCAGAGCAAGGTTAGGTTGTTTTTTTTTCTCTGCCATTTGTTATATATGACAGCTTTGTTTCTTTCTCTCGGCCTTTATTGCCGAAAGTTCTCTCTAGTGACTCTTTTTGTTTCTAACCATGCCTGAAACTCCTAGGTATGTTTCTAATCTTTCTAAACCTGTCCACACTCAATCTTCTCTTCAATTTGATAGTCATACCCTCCAAATCTCTACCATTAAACTAAGCGGAAGAAATTTTAGGGAGTGGTCTCAATCCATGAAGATCTCTTTAATGAGTAAAGGAAAGTTCAAATATGTGAATGAGGCTGCAAAGGCACCAGCCTTGGAAGATGATTCATATGAAACTTGGGAGATCGAGAACACGACGGTGATGTCATGGCTGCTTCACTCCATGCAACTAGAAATCAGCAAGACGTACCTTCTTCTTCCTACGGCTAGAGATATTTGGGATGCTGTCAATAAAACCTACTCCAAAGTAGGTTTAACTTCTTAGATTTTCCAAATCAAAAGGCAAATTCAAAAGATGAAGCAAGCAACATCAAGCATAAGAGATTCCTACAATAATATGCGAGGTTTATTGGCTGAATTAGACCTGTATAAAAAATCCAGAGATGGAATATGCTACCGACAATAAAAGGATGAGAAACTTGTACAAGATGGAGAGGGATTTCAATTCTTATTGGGAAGTCTGAATTTGATCAGGTATGCGATCGTGTTCTTAGTAGAGAACATTTTCCTGATCTTAATGAAGCATTTACCCTAGTTCGAAGTCTGAAAGCCAACAGGAATTGCTAAGTAGTAAAGAGGCAAATTATGACAAGCACATAGTAGAAAACTGTCTTGGCAGGCTCAAAGATACTTCCCAACTCCAAAGACAACAAGAAACATGGGAGAAACCAAAACACACCAAGGAGACATGCTAGAAACAGCATGGTAAACCTCAAAACTGAAAAAACAATAAGAGCAACGATAAACGGGTTAAAAGGAATGTCGGTAGCCAATGAGATTCAAGTTGGAGGAAATCAAGGTGGCTTCAAGACACCTTTATTCAGTAAGGAAGAACTAGTACATCTGTATGGACTTCTTAGCCGATCTCAAACAACCTATCCATCTCCTACATGTTCTCTTGCAAAACAAGGTAATATTCCTACTCCCCTCCACATTTCCTCTAACCAAGCACTTTGGATAGTTGATTCGGGTGCTAGTGGCCATATGACTAGCCTTTCTCACATATTTACCTCCTATACTCCATGTCCTAGTAACCTTAAAAGTTTGTATTTGGTGATGGATCTTTGTTCTCCAGTTGCAGGAAAAGGTTCTGTTGTTCTCTCAAAGAATCTAATTTTAAAATCTGTTCTGCATGTTCCTAGCCTATCTTGTAATCTCTTATCCATAAGAAAACTCACTAAAGATTCAAAATGCATGGCTAAATTCTTTCCATCTCATTGTGAGTTTCAGGATATGAGCTCGAGGAGGATGATTGGCAGCTAGAGAGGTTAATCAACTCTATTACTTTGAAGGTGATGCTTCCTTGGATGGATAAGCTCAAGCTTCTCAAGCTGCAGGCAGTTTCTCTTCCCTTTCTGATATGGAAAAGAGAATTGCTGAAAGGAAAAACCGTCAACTACTAGAGGTAACTTGGGCCATTATGTTTACAACAGGAGTTCTCTATATATTTTTGGGGAGAGGCTATCTTAACCACATCTTATTTAATCAATAAGAAGCCAACTCGAGTAATTTGCCTCCAAAGGTGTTTGGTTGTATAGCATTTGTTTACATACAACTGCACCAAACTTGATCTGCGAGCGAAAAAATATGTTTTCTAGGCTTCTCACCAACTCAGAAGGGATATGGATGCTTTGATCCTTTTATAAAACAGTTCTATATAAGTATGGATATCACCTTTTTTGAAAATCAACCTCATTTCTCCCAAACTTCTCTTTGGGGGAGAATCATATGAAACAATGTTTTTAAAGCGCTAGGCGCCAAGATCCCAAAATGCCCTTAGGTGCCCACCCAAACGAAGCAAGGTGCTCTCGAATATTAAAACATAAAAAATATATAATATAATTATAAAAATAAAGATATGACATTAAATTAAGATTAATAACATTTATAATAATAGTTCCAAATAAATAGAGATTAATAGTGCTAATAGGGATTAATAATATTTCTAAATAATGATTAATAGTGCTAAATAGGGATTGGTAGATCTAAAGAAGGTTAATAGTTCTAACAGCGTGTAGTAGTGAGAAGAAGAGTTACTAACAGTGGAAGGTGGGGAAGAAGAGGGTGACAATGATGGAGGAACCTATGGACGACGATAGAGGTAGTGACGGAAATGACAGAGAAAGCTACAAACGACAATAGCAACGATGGAGAAAGCTACGGACGACGGTAGCAGCGACGGAGAAAGCTGTGGACGATGATATCAAGGGTGGAGGAAGCTTCATATGTGTCCGTCGATGGCAGACGAAGCTACAACGCATAAGAGCTACAATGGTGAGAGCTTCGGACTTGTCCATCGACGATAGAGGAAGCGTCAGACCAATCTATTGGCGACGGAGAGAGCTATGGACGGAGGCCATGGTGATGGAGCAGAGGTGCATCGAGGGCGGCAATAGTAGTTCAAGTTTTATTGTGTTGTGGGTTTTACTGTGCGTGTGGGGGAAGGGGTTTGCTTATTGTGCTTAGTTGGTTCGATTAAACCAACTAACACATAGTTCAATTGAACCAATTGACAATCTGGTTCACATTCAACCGGGTGCTCGCTTGAGGTCCCGATGCTTAGGCTAAAGCAAGCGCCCAAGCGGCACTTCACTGTAGCATGTCGCTCAACCACTGTGAAAGGCACTCGGGCCTTGCCTCACCTTGCCTGAGCACTTAGGCAAGTGCTTGGGCGCCTTTTCAAAACGGTAATACGAGAGAAGTTTTGGGAAACTATTATAACCCTACTTGTGAATTCTCTTTCTAAATTCATTCCTATCACAAGTATATCTCCTCAAAAATCACCTTTCAAATCTAAATCCATTCCTCTCACAATTCTAACTTTTTAGTCACAACCTATCCCTTGTACCGCCAATTCAATGCTGCAACCTCAATCCATTGTGCTAGAACATGAAAAATCTAATGCAGGGGGAGAATTAGTGGCCGATAAGTAGCAATTAGAGCTACGCGTTTTTACAAGGAGGCATAATCGACAAGGTTTGGGGCAACAACCACACAATGTCTGCCAAGAGTCAACTCTGAGTACAACTGATCATGAAACTTTAGGTAATCCAGACCATTCTTTATGCCTAGAACCCTATGAGTTTCAAGATCTTAATGTTCCTATTGCTGTTAAACAAGGAATGAGGTCAAGTACTATTCATCCTATTTTTAATTTTGTGTCATATCATAGATTATCCTCCTCTTTCAGATCCTTTCCAACCTGACAAACACAAATATTCCTAAGTCTATATTAGAAAGCTCTAGCTGTACCTGAGTGGAAAAAAGCTGTGTTTGAGGAGATAAGGGCAATGGGGAATAATAACACTTGGAAACTTGTAAATTTATCTAAAGGAAAAAGACTTTTGGTTACAAATGGGTGTTCATAGTAAAATATAAAGCTAACGAGTAGCAAGACTAGTGGCTAAGGGATACACTCAAACATTTGGGATAGAATATCAAGAGACTTTTGCACTTGTGGCAAAGATGAACAACATTCGAATCCTGTTGTCTCTTGCACCAATTTTTGACTGGCCTTTACAGTAGTTAGATACGAAGAATGCCTTCCTTAATGGCGAACTAGAAGAGGAAATCTACATGAATCTACCTTCAGGTTTTGAAGGAACATTAGAGCTTGACAAAGTCTATAAGCTAAAGAGGTCACTTTATGGATTAAAACAATCTTCTAGAGCATGGTTCAATAGATTTACAAAGGCTATCAAGAGCTATGGATATTTGCAAAGTCAGGTAGATCACACCATGTTTTATAAGCATGCTAGCAGTGGACAAGTCTTAGTACTCATCATGTATGTGAATGACATTATCTTGACAAGTGACGATCTTGTTAAACAAGAGAAACTAAAAACCTTCTTGGCCAAGGAGTTTGAAATCATAGATCTTGGATTATTATGGTACTTCTTGGGTATGGAGGTAGCTAGAACTAAAGAGGGGATCTCAATGTTATACACTGGATTTACTCATGGAAACTTGAATGTTGGGTTGCAAACCGTCTGAAACACCTATTGACCCCAACCACAAGCTAAGTGCAAACACAAGTAGTGAGGTGGGACAATATCAACGTTTGGTTGAAAAATTAATTTATTTGTCATATACTAGATCAGACATTGCCTTCGTTGTTAGTGTTGTAAGTCAGTTTATGCAGTCATCTAATGAAGAACATATGAGGGCTGTCATTAGGATTCTTCAATATCTCAAATGAACACCAGGCAAAAGGTTGGTGTTTAAGAAGAGAGACGATCTATATGTGGAAGCATACACAGATGCTGATTGGGCTAACAGTATAGATGATAGAAGATCTACATCTAGATATTAAACCTTTGTAGGGGAAAATTTGGTGACTTGGAGGAGTAATAAATAGAATGTAGTGGCTAGAAATAGTGCTGAAGTTGAATTTCGAGCTATCACACGGAATATGTGAACTCCTTTGCATAAAAAGACTACTAGATGAGTTAAAGAGTTTCTTGAAACCAACCAATGAAGTTATATTCAGATAACAAGGCAGCAATTTAGTATCTCTCACAACCTGATGCATCATGATAGAACAAAACACATTGAGGTTGATCGACATTTAATTAAAGAGAAGTTGGACGAGGGACTGTTATGTATTCCATTTATTCTTACCAAGCAACAAGTAGCAAATATTGTCACAAAGGGACTTCAAAAACAACAATTTGATCACTTGATTAGTAAGCTGGGGATGTTGAATATCTTCGAGCCAGCTTGAGGGGGAGTGTTGAGATCTGTCAAATCTACTGTGATTTGATTTGTTGAGATTTGTCAAGATCTGTAGTGATTTGATTATTGACATACTACATTATTTGATGTGATAGACTAGGATATGATTGTTGACTCATTCCTAATTTATTTGGTATATATTTCCTAGAGTAGCACCTAGATCTATTTAGGTAGTTCTTTCCTTTTTTTTCATTTCTCTGGTTCAACTGTATGTATTTCATCCTGTATACAAGCAACGATATAGAAAAGTGAAACTCTCTTATATTGTCTTGTTCACTTTAAACTTTAAAGAATGTACCAACATTTTAAACTTGTCCAACCAAACACTATGTGATAAATGACTCATTTAGGCTACAGAAAGTGCACAGTAGATCTAATTAAGCATTTTTCATTATGTACTTTTTTCAAAAACAGATATAAGCAAAATGATACATATTCAAATTTTCTCATGTTTCAACCTAATGGATCTAACCTAGGCATAGGGAGTGCACATTGGTAAAGAACTACTTTATCCTCTATCATTTTGATTTTCTTAACCTAAGCTAGTGAAAAACATACTGTTCATTCAAAAAATTCGAAAGTCAAGAGAGCTGAAGGTCCCTTCTTCAAAATTTTCCCAATGAAAAAAAATCATCAATTCAACATACCACCTCAGGAGATTCAGAATATAGGTATTCTGCTAGCATATTGTGCAATTGGGGAGATCCTTTTTTGGGAGCCCCAAACTCAGATGACCACCTAAAGGAAGATAATGGGTTATATTAATGACATTAAAATGCAAAAAGATAAACTAAAACAAACTTGGAATTCATGTCAAAGAAAATAATACCAAGTTAATGGGTAAAGAAATAAACGTACAATAAGAATTCATAAGCAGATAAGTTGCATTATTTGAGTAGGATATTTCATATAGGCAGTTAAAACATATTTCAAGCATTGTCTTATAGAAAGGTGAATCAAGCTCTGTTCAACTTTTTTAATTAAAATCGGTATTCCTCTATGGAAGAAAGCAAATTCAACTTAAAATCTTTTTCCAAAGTGTCCTTAGAATGATACTGCAATAAGATGATATAGATCATAATATGTAGACTTATACAAGTTTACATACAGGTCATTAGTGATTTCTCAAGAAAAGGAGAAACCCATAACATATAGATAACTTTTCGATATGAATAATTACTCTATATGCATGTGCTGCTCCTGAAATGCTAAATTTCCACTCTGCAAGTAGCAAACCTTTTTTATCAATCAAGTAAATTGGTAAAAGTCTGATCCAGCTGAGAGAAGCAGAATGTTTCCACAATATTTGCTTTCATGATGCCCACAAAACATAATAGTTTGTTTTCTTTAATTAACATACAAGAAAAAAGTTAGCTTTGATCTTAACAAGGTACAAGATGGAGGACAAAATAATTTAAAGGTTAGAAATCACAAAAGAAACTATTGAACAGAAGCAAGCATACCAGAATTACTCAAAGAAAACTTACTTGATTGCAGATCTCAAAAATGATAAGCAACCCTCTACACGTACTTTAGCGGCCACCAAAGCTTCTGAAAGTTTCTGCATGTCATCATCGTCTTCTAAATGCTCTGGAATGGGAATATTTGGAAAACCTTCGTACATTTTCCTAACACGATCTAGATTAAACAAAGTCAACACCATGTAGAGCTAAATATTACCAAAGGAAAGGAAAAAAAACTTTTATCCTTCAAAATGACAAAGCAAAGAACTAAGTGCTCCATGCTTGTTTGAGCTGCCGAATGAAGTTTATCTTCCTTTTGATTTTTCTTTATATTTCTAGTCACAAAATTCCTTTATTTTCTATTTTTTTACTGGTTCATGGGCATCATATACCATGAAAAGTAACACCCTGCAGGAATACTTGAGACATGTCACACACACTGATGCACATAACAGAAGCAACATGGTATCTGTGAAATTGCAACACCACACATGAAATGACAATATAGAGAGTCCAGGAAATATGGTGAGGCTTGAGCAAACATTTAAAAGGATTTTATTTTCATGTTGGAAAGTGAAGGCAGGCCACCATCAGAATCAATACCACCAAATGAAAGACCCTGATTCATATTCTGATAGGGATATTTGGAGACAACTTGTATATTTACAAGAATAATAAGTATGATTATAAAAAAATGACTGAATGTTGACAGTGGAATGATAGGAAAAGATACCAGACTTCAAGGATAAACTATGAGTTAAAACTAAAGAAAATAAAACAGAGCTGTAAGCTTATGATGAAAAAGGACATAGAACATAGTTTGTAGTTATGTTAATAAGGTGCAACCAGAGAGAAACATCAGGTCTTGACACCAGTTTGACATGATATACCCGGAAAATAAATCCCTTCAAAGGGTGGTTAAAGTGAAAACAGATGGCAATTGCCAAGTACCAAGGACTATAGAAGGATAAAGAAAATTATTGGGACCAGGAAGCAAAATGTCTAATGATCAATATCAGGCCACTGAAGGTTATGGCTGAAACCATATTGCTGGAAAAGATCTACAACCCTTAAATAAGAAATAAGCAATGAACCTATAGTGGAAGTACCTAACCAAAGCATCAAAAGAAGGATTCTAAAGGCTCCTGAATCCTGTTGCACCAGAATAATTGCTCTTCTACAATAAAGTGCTAAAGCTATTTGAGACTATGAGTAACCCAAACAAGTATAATTTGTTACTCTTATGTGGCTGCACCAGATTATTGATGTTCTATTTGAGAATACAATATAAGTTACTTTTACAACCCTAACAGGTAGTTGCTTGCTATAGCCTTTAGCCCTTTACAAGGCTCCACCAAAGTTTCCTAAAATTAAACATAAAGAAAAGCTTTCCTCATGTTAATTTTGACAAGATGCAATATTTAAGTAAAACAAAAGCAAGTCATTTACTTTTCAGAGGGCAAGACCTCCTTTCTGTGCACTTCTCCTGGAAAAGTATTTAGTAGCATTTAAGCTAAACAGATGGAGAAACACCCATAGAAGGAGAATTAGTTGAAACAAAAGACATAATGTACATAAAGCCCCCAGACTGTAATTCTCTCATCAGCCACCCAAACTGTGTCCAGCAGTCATTGACAACAGTGAATATCAAAGATTGCAAGGACACTATCCTCAAATGATTGTTAATATTTTACCTTCTGTTTATTGCTTACAATGACTTATAAACATAAAGCTAAGTTAAGCCACATAACACACGAGTAGTGGGATATTTATGCGTGTTTAAAAGAACATAACAGTTTTTGTTCCAGAAAATATAAATGATTGATAAATACAAGTAAAAACTTTGACCGATACTAATAAGAAAAAATAATTATGTCCTATGATTAATAAAACAAGACCGAACCAAGAGTTTCTTCGCTGTAAGAGTATTTCCCCTTGACTAATGTTTCCACAAACAAAACCGCCAGCTCAGCTCCACAAGTAATCTGCATTAGTTTAGACTGATTTAAAAACACAGTGTTGATTCCAAAAAATGTACTCAAGAAAAAATGTTTGAGTTCGTAGGAGACATTCTTTAGTTTCTTTTTCCCCTTACAATAGCCACAGACTACAAGGATTTTCCATATACATGTTTTTTGTTAATTCAATAATCCTTCACATCCAGACACACGAGGGATATTTTGTGATGAGAAAAGAAGAAAGAGAAGCTACTCAGTGAAATAAACAAAATTCTTTTCTCCTCTATTCGATTAGTGCATTAGACTTAAGCAATTAATATGCATGGCAGATAAGCTTATTCCTGATGATGAGGCCTCGTTGAAACTTGAAAGTGAAAAAAATTGTGCTGAACTTATTTCAGAGTGCAATTATTCAAGGTACAAAATATGAAAAAAATGCATTTTAAAGGCAACTACAACAATCCTTCACATCCAGACACATGAGGGCTATTTTTGTGATGAGAAAAGAAGAAAGAGAATCTACTCAGTGAAATAAACAAAATTATTTTCTCCTCTATTTGGTTAGTGCATTGGACTTAAGCAATTAATATGCATAGCAGATAAACTTATTCCTGATGATGAGACCTTGTTGAAAGTGAAAAAAATTGTGCTGAATTTATTTCAGTGTGCAATTAATCAAGGTACAAAATATGAAAAAAAAATGCATGTTAAAAGCAACTACAATTCTTGCGACCAAAGTTTTGAAGCTTTGAGGAGCTGACATCACGGTCAGAAGTTAAAATGCGTATGCATCTCCTTACAAAAATTAGACAACCTGAGAAGAGTTTTCTCCCCTCTCAGCCTTCCTTTTCACCCTATCTGGAAGTGGAGTGTGGATGCATTTTTTTCTTTAGGCTCCACAGTAGCCAAAGTAGATCTACTAAATGCACAACATATAATTTGATCTTTTACACAAAAGGTTGGCCCAATTGTCGAAAACAAATACTCAGTAAATAATATCAGAATGTAATGGTGGAAATGTATGTCACAATTTTGGGTTTTCTGCATCAAGAAAAAACAACTATAAACAAAGTGGTCAATGAATTGGAATGCTATGCCTGGATGAATTGCTTCAACTGTGACCTTCCAATATGACAAAAAGAAATTGAAAATTCATGTGTAACTTAGACAAATTTAGTTGTTGTTGGTTCAAATTAATCCTATTCTTATGGCTTCTAAACTTTTTGGTCATGTTTCTTCACAACTCTTTATATATTATATTTAAACTTGACGACATACTTCATTCATTGTTTAATAACAAAAAAATTAACCATGACAGCAGATCAGGAATGTAGAACAACTCATTTATGTTGTCAATTGTAAGATGGAGTTTCTTCCTTTGCCAGAGATCTAAATCATAACATGTGAAGAAAATAACCTGCCCATGCTTCAGTTGTATTAGAGCACCTGACTGAAGAATATCGAGGGCTTCAGCATATTTCTCAGAAGCCGCATATCTGTTACAAATTGACAAGCATTAGTGGCAAATGATCAGCAGAGCCAGTGGTCAAGAGAAGACAATCATTAAAAAGATTGCATAAAACATTATAGAACCAGACACAAAGACTAAGTTCCTGCTGCCATGATGCCTGTACTGAGCTGTTCGTATGTGACAACGCAATATATGCAAGGTCAAGATGTGTATATCCCTGTTATGTGTGCCACTGGGCATTGCAGTGCGACACTGAATGCTAGGCATTTTACGCAGGCATGCAGCAAACTGAAGCAGCATTGCTAGATATAGCATAGGCAAAGAACGAAAAGTATTCATTTAGCGCAAACAGTGGCACACCATCACACTGTATCTCCATCTTAAAACTTGGCAAGAAACTAATAAACCTTCGTCTTGACAAGAAGCAAGATCAAGTTGAGAAAATGAGTCTGGTTCATTTCACAATCTTTTATCTAGTTGTTGGATTTTCCTATTTTCTTCCACAAGATATTATTCTATTTGGTCCCTGTGTTACAAAAAAATTGCTTTTGTGACCTTAGTCAGTAAATTAAAAAAAGAAATGGATAGATGCCACAGATTATTTCTTAAAATAATTGATCACTACAACTATTAATTTAAGAGCCACTAGCATATGAACGAATTTTATGAATGTGCCACATATGAAGAACTTCTAAACTTCAAAAAGGCGACCTTCAAAGCAACTTCATCGATGACTTATGAGGATAGACCAAAAAGTCATATATATTCGAGACATATCCACACCTTGCACTTAAGGACTTGTACATCTGCTGAGCTTCATAGAAATTACACGCATCTACCATATTCTCCAGCTTTTCTATGGTCTGCAAGTACAACACCCACAACTCAAACCAAATCAGCATTTCCCTACAATAGAAAATTATATAAACAAAATCTTGAAATAAGCAAACAAAAGATGCCAACCCTCATAATGAATATTATGTTCGAGCTCCACCTCAACCAAAAAAATTGAGGACGATTGAAAAGTTAAAACATGAAACCATTAAGGAAGTTCAAGATCAAGAACCTCCTGCAATCGTCGGTTATTCAGGGCATAAAGAGGAGAAGATTTTCTACTTGTACCTCAAATCTATAATCTTTTACGTCAAACTATAATGTTCTATCTGTACCTCGAACTTCCAATCTTTTGAATCAAATTTGGTTCTTTTTCTTTTTAGATCTCACATTATCATGCTCAGCTGAATTCCGAGGATCCTTAGTTTTCTTCGAAGCCTTGGGCCAAAACAATCACATTATAAGTTTCATCTTTTAATACCAAAAGAATCAGAAGGTGAAGAAAAGAGAACTTCTCAGATGCTCTTCTGAGGCAGGAAAAACGGGGGAAAGAAAACGTAAAAAACGATCTGTCAAACCTCTTGCGACGGGGGCAATTCCCCGCGTCTGCCTCTTGATCTCGACATGGTGGTTCTCGGCCTCTCTTGTTGGATCCGAAGGAGACGAGAGGGATTGGAGCTCGTCGTCGAGGTCGGAGGATGGCGAAGAAAACGCGATGGAGAGCAGAGTCCGGGGATGGGTTCGATCTGTCGGACGTCACGGTCCAGTCTTTTAAAGGGAAGGGCAAGAACCCCAAGATGTGTACACGTGGCACACTCCAAAATCCGACGGTCGAGGGATGAGATGAGAAAAGACACCTGCGACCTGTGAAATTACGCATTTCTTCCCCGTGACCGATTTCTCGGATAATACCACGTGTCATGCTCGGACGAACACATCAGCCCCGGAACTTGTCAGGGGTGTGATTGCCATGACGGCAAGTGCATTAGTCGAAAAATGAATTTAAAAGCATAGCAGTAAAATAAAAAGGGGGAAAAATCATAAAAAAAATATATGAGCATATGTTCAAACGACAACCACTTGTATTGTTATGTATCTTTTTAATTTACTTATACAAGAAAAAATAAAATGATTTTTTAGAAGTAATGAAAATATGAAATAATGTTACGATTGTTGAAAGGTCTAATTATATAAGTCCGTGCGTATAGATAGTTCAACGTTAATTTTAACATAGAACTAGTAGTATATATCATTAGCTCATAGATACATTCATAAAATCTCCCTTATGTATGTATATTAGCAAATTATCTCTTAATATTTATCTCCAATTAACTTAAATTGTAGTTTCATGCAGGTTACTTGCTCGATTGGCTATGGTAACTTGAGTAGTCATCCCATCGGAACAGTATATCATTTTAATGTATCAGTTATCCCATCAAGAATTCCTGACATTTTGAACATATATCAATTCACATATAAACTTTTCTTAATTCCAAAAAAGCAGAAAAAGAGCTACAGAGAGAAGTTCCAAAGGATGATACTGAGAACAAGCCACCATGTGCTGCAAATGATGATACTCCAAACAGGTTAATTTTGCACTTTGGATTACAATGACCAACCAATGGATTAATTTCCCCACAGATTGCTGTATATGTGATCATAATATCAGACCATTTGATATTATTATGTTGCATTTCTTTGTTCCATTATGTTTTTGGTATATGAACAGCAATGATAGCTTTTGAGTGTGGAATGCTAAAAAAGAACACTACAGGATTTTTTTTTTTGGTCCTAAACAATCTTTCTTTTTATCAACATATTTCACTACTTCCAAAAAAAAAGTCAAAACAAGTTATCTTCATGTCAACATCTTGGGAATGAACCATAAGAACATCACAGTTTGCCATGACTCTTCACAACCTCATCTCAATAAAAGTCAAAACAAGTTATCTTCATTGTCAGCATCTTGGGAATGAGAGGGGAGAAAAAGGCCAACATAGGAGAGGTTCATGGAAGTTTATTTTAAGTATCTGGATTCTTTCTCAATCAATCTTCAATGCTCATCAAGTCTCTGTCTTTTAGATATCATGATCCAAATATGGGCTTTGTTTCCATCCACTAACCCCTTTGCAAAATATTTGATTTAAGGATGGATCTTCTCAGGCCATGCTTTTGTCTAATCTCAAGATTAAATATTTCTTTGGGCCAGTTGTATCTCTTCATTGCATGTGATGCACCAACATATCTTCACTACCGTGCAGCAAAGATGATTAATTATGGCAGAAAAATAATGGCAAGAAAGAAAAATGATACTGATAAAAAGGAATTTATCATCTTACCTATATAAAAGATTTGGAGATCATGGCAAGATGTTTTAGTTATTGGCCATCCTAAGAGAAGCTAAAGAACAACATTGGCTTCCCTTCTTAGTTTACTGCCCCATGCTTTATTTGCTAAGACTTGTGAGGATGAGTAGCATCGAATCGAGTTTAACCTACTAAAATTATAGGCATGCAAAAGAAGTCATCTTAGACCTAATCTGTCAAGTCAAGATGTTCCTATCTGAGTCTCTTTCATGGCAAAAAAAAGAAAAAAAGAAAAGTGACATGGAAGAAAACAAAACCAGAAACAAGGATCAGGTCCAGAGAAACTCTCTCTTGAGAGGATCCTGAGCTACATTACTAGAGGAGGCATAGTTCAGCAGCTGAGGCATGGCAGTGAGGTTGTTGTTGATCACAAAGGACTTGTCATCAGCCTCCATCTTCTGCTCGGCCAAGGGGGGTTCCTGCTGCATCTGGATGCAAAGGATCTCGGTCTGGGCCACAGCGAGCTGCATCTGGAGCTGAGACACTTGGTTCTGCAGGTAAGAGATCGCCCCAACACATCCATACACTGGATCTCTCATCCTCGCTGTGGCTTCATAGACCAGGCTGCCGACGGCGTCCGCTCGCTGATGAACCGGGAGCTCCTGCACTCATTCAACGCAAGGGAGAGAGGACGAAATCATCAGCTAATGCATGGAGCATGTTGAAACTGGGGGGCGGAGGAGAGCGACCTGCAGCATCTTGCTAACGTTGCTGGCACCAAAGATCTTGTGGACGATGGCGAATTTGTGGGGGTCGTCGGAAGGGAAGTAGGGAGCAAAGATGCAGTCTTTGGTGCAGCGTCTCCGTAGCAGCTTGCATGAGGCGCAAGGGGAGTTGCCACCCATCTTGCTGCTGCTCCCAGGCTAAGTTTTCTGCGAGGAACCAGATCGAGAACCCTAGGCAAGGTGAAATGAGGACGAAAGGAAGTGAGTGTGGGTATATATAGCAGAAGCAACCAAGCTTTGTTGCTGAGACCGTTACTGTGCTGGATTTGTAGTCACAGAGACAGGAAACAACCAGTTTTTGTTGGGAAGAACATAGAGTTCATCATTAGGAATCTTAGTTCCGACTCAACCATGGATTCAAGGATCATCAACCACATTTAAGTATTGTGCTGCAGTGACTGTGCCTGTCCTCAAAACACGTGAGCATGTGATGACTTTACATGCTATATATATAAATGGCTTTAGATAGATATACATTAATACAGTAACCTGTGGAATAAATAAAATATATATATATTTATGAAGAAGAAGAAGAAGAAGAAGAAGAAGAAGAAGAAGAAGAAGAAGAAGAAGAAGAAGAAAACAGTGATCTCGTTTGATATAATTAGTTTGAAAAGTAAAAGGTTGAAGGAAGACGTGCAGAATATGTGTCCTTTTGGATCTAAGAATTTGGAGTCATTAGCATGTTTCAGTTCATGAGTTTATTGCAACCTTAACGTAGAAGAAAAAGAGTGAACTATCCCCACAAATACATGAAACATGAGAAGAAGAGGTATTGACTGCTATATATCGAGGCGGCGACAACCCTAACATTTACCTTTCCTCTCCATGCAGCAATCACATTGTTTTCTGTTATCTATTCTCACGTAGATTGAGAGATGGGAATCTCCATTAATGACAGCATCCAAAAAACCCTAACCCTAGAGGAGAGAGATGGCTCGACGTGAATGTTTGTTGGCAGACAGTCACATGCCCAAAGTCTTCTCCTCTCGCTGCAAGTCAATGCCTTAATCTTCACCACTACAACTGGTGATGCTTACTTTAGTACGTATGATCCAGTTCAAGGACCGAGAGTGGAGTTAGTGTACTGTGAGAAGGCCATTGTGCATCTCGTGAATGATCACCTGGATTAAGGAAACACCAAATGAGCAGCAGGTGAGTTGACCTCAAGGATCTAAGATCTGAGCAGATCATGAGCATGTGCACCCTAAGCTCATGATACTATTGAGCCAAAACCTACACTACTATGAAGATAACTTCAGTTTTTTCTCTGTATGAAACTTCTATAATCTCTCAGCCGAAAGATTAAAGCACAAGTTTCAAGCAAAAACTTTCATGTTAGCTGAGCATCAGATCATGTTAGGATTTGCATGTTCAAACTCCATGCTTTCAACACAAACAAAAGCTAATCATTTTACTAGTGTATATTGATGATCAATATTCTATTTATTTCTGGATCTTTTAGTACTAATGAATTGTGAGTTTGCATTTGCAAACTTGTTTTTTTTCCCTATATATGTACATAAAATTATGTATAAACATATACATTAGAAGAGAAGCAACTCAAAATGCTGATATGAATGTCCTACGTGTGGATTAAACAGAGTCAGATGAGATCACCATATTGAGATCCAACATCCAGATAAAGCACATATTATATTACACACAAACACACCTGTTCAAAGTTGAAATCACAAGTTACTGTAACCCAAGTCCTATGCCCACAATCCATGCAATAAATGCTCTCACATGACAGCCTTCAACAACACACTTCTTCCTCATCTGCTCCTTGTCATGTTCTCCCCCCTGCCATCAACCCTTGCACTAAAATATTATGAACATGGTGTTGCTGCATAAATGACTTGCTCCCAAATCTGTGTTCTTTTATTTCAGCTCTAAGCACTAGGGAGAAGAGACCTCAATCTGAGCAAAAGAGAGCAACAGACATCTTTCTCTTGCTTAGAGACGAAGAAATCATGCGACCACCAATGCAACAATTAATGCAGTCCTCGTTTGGAGATTCCTTTTGGATGAATTCATCCACAGCATTTTAAATGTTTGATTCCTGAGGTTTGTGGGTGTATGTCTATATCAATGCCAAAGCCTAACATGTATGTATATGAAAAATACTTATATAGGGAAAGCTTAAACAGGTTGTGTGAGAGCAAGTTTTATCCTTTCTTTTTTGAGTCTTTTTTTTGACTTACTGATTCATTACTCAGGTTGTATATATATTTTCTCTTCTGTAGAAATCCGAGAATATTATTTTAAAATATCAATATTTAAAAAATAAGTTTGCACACATATATATATTCTAAATTATTTTAAAATTTTAATTTTTATGCTAAAAAAATTGATTTTTATTATTTATAAAAATTAATAAATTGCTAAATTTGGAGCCAAACCCATGTTGGAATTTGGTGAACCAAATCTATGGGTCAAACCAAGAAAAGACAAAAAGATAAAAGAAAGAAGAGAAGAATAAAATTGAAAAGTTGAAAAGAAAAAGGGATGCTTTCCAGGCAAAAACAAAAACAAAAACCAAAGTGTTTTTAAAGAAATTTATCCCTTTTTTTTTGTTTTGTCATAAAAGTTAATAAACCAACACGACAACCGGAAAATTGCAGTTGAGGTTGGGAAAGGACGATGTTTTGAGCTCAAAGCACACATAAGACTCAAATTAAGGCCCAGTATTAGGCCCAACGAAAGGCCTATGAATGGCTTACTTCCCTGTGCTCGCCATTTGCCAGGCTATTAATGATTTGGCGTAACCTCGTCCGTCCACGTCGTCCTCTTATTGGTCGTCGGTGGTGCGAACGCCATTAGAGGGAGGGAGGGAGAGCCTTCTCTCGATCGCGATCCCGTCATCCCTCTTGTTCCGATGGCTTCTAGTCGGCTTCTTCTGCTAGTCTTCCTCCTCCACCTCGCCGTCTCGCAGCGCTTCGCCTCCTCCTCCTCCTCCTCCTCCTCCTCTCCTAAGGTCTCGCTGGCCCTGTACTACGAAACCCTGTGCCCCTACAGCGCCAACTTCATCGTCAATTACCTCGCCAAGATCTTCGACGACGGCCTCATCTCGATCGTCGACGTCGATCTCGTCCCCTACGGCAACGCTAGGATCCAAAACGGCACCATCTCCTGCCAGGTCCCCTACGCCCTCTTCTCCGACCGATTCCAAGTGTTTGTCCTAAAGAAATACTCAATTTTGTGCTTGCACATAGAAATACGACCTTATCTGCCTTTGATGGGTGTAGAATGTAAAAGAAGATCTCCTTTCAAGCTAATGGGTCTTATTCTCTTGCAGCACGGCCCCTATGAATGCCTACTAAACACCGTCGAGGCATGCGCCATCGATGCTTGGCCTGATTTGGTAACACGCTCTCTACGGCGTTTATTTCATTATGATTATACCTAATTATGCTCTTACAAGCTTAGCTGTTTGGTGTCTCTAGTTATCGGTGTACTCAGGTTGATATTTTTGGCATTATTGGAATGACATTTGAACAAAAAAATTTTCAACTCTTTATCTGCGTGGTGGTATCCCAAAAATTCTCTAGTCTGTAACTACAGAGTATAATGTATAATATGATCTATTGATAAGAGAATGAAAACTTAGAGATGTGTGTTCATAAATTTGGGTGTTTTATACTTATAGATGAGTTGCTTGATATAATTTAGTGATGCATGAACTCTAGCAAATGGATGATATGTGTGATGTTATTTAATTTTGCACGAGATTTAGCAAAAACATGCTATTGTTTACATGTCAGGAGATACTATCTGCAGTATTATGACACTATTATCTATATGGTTCCTTTGGCTACTAAACACTATAATGTTCATGCCACAATGGTAGGAAAAGCAGAGATGAGGAGGTGATATGAGCATCTCTCATAAGCCCTATACATTATCTTTACATGATTGGTTGTGATATGTGGTCAGAGAGTACCTTGGTGCTCACATGTGAGGTGTCCCTGCATTCACGAAATATGCTTTGCCATGTGAGGTGAACTTGCCTATGCAGAATATTCTCTGCTTTCTCTGAGACTCCTGCTTAAATTCCTAATATTTTTTATAAACTCATATCCAATCATATCTTGCATGCAACATATGCAGTAGTTGGTTGACTCCATAATACACACACCTTTTAGAACATTCCTCGAGTATTTACTATTGTATCAACATTATGCTTTTGCCATGATTTAGTGGATGACACCCTTGGTGCCGCAGTAAGATTGCCAGATTTTGTGGCAGCATCAAGGATCCTCACTAGCAAGGAATAATTCAATTTATCTTGATCTCCCAGGCCCCATAATGGTGGGAGCATATCATAATTTACCCTTTTAGCATGCTTAAGGTAATGACTAAATCAAGGGATTCAGACATGCAAGATTAGGATACCTCTGGTTTAAACTGTATAGGCTTTTCTGTGTCCATCTTACGGTGCAAACCACCATTAGAATGATCTTCTGCTCCATCTCTTTGCATATACTAATTCCATTTCAACTTTTGCAGAATCAACATTTCAGCTTCATTTATTGTGTTGAGAGCCTGGTTTTGAAACGTAAGTACCTTGAGTGGGAATCGTGCTTTTCAGAAACCGGGCTTGGTTCACATGCTGTCTCGGAATGTTATGATAATGGACATGGGCAAGAGGTATGACCCAACTAACATCATATGCAGGATATACTGTAATAATTTGTAATATATGCCTCTTAGAATACTTCTTGTATGCCTGGATTCAGGTGAGTTTCAATGCTGTTTCTAGCAAATTTATCTTCTGATTCTATTGATTCTCTATTCTCACTTAAAAGTAACATTTTTATTATCAATTAATGATGTTCAACTAAGTTCACAATTTTCTCAGTTATATTAATGTGATTTTGTTTTCTGCAATGCTGAAACAAAAAAGGGGGATATAGCCTGATCAATACATTTCTTGTTTTCTTAGGGATAGGCCATACTTCTGTTTATAAGCTTATTTATGATTCAAATTATCCTGATACTTCTTGCTCTTTATCTAATTTTCATGCATATTTAAAGTTTGTAATTCCGTGGTACATCCATAACAGGTTTTATTTTGACTACTCAAATCACTGAACTTTTCCATGTTAAACTTTTGCAGCTTGAATTAAAGTACGCAGCACAAACAGATTCTTTGGAGCCCCCTCACAGATACGTTCCTTGGGTGGTGGTGGATGGACAGCCACTATACGAGGTGTGTTGTGTGATGATATAGGAATTCCTATAACATTATGTAAACATTATCTTTAGTGTTTGAGGTCATAATCCTTAACTGTGATTTACATC